TAGTTGGGCCAACAGTACCGGCAGCAGCACGAGCACAAGTTCCTCTGAGGGCAGTCGCACAGGTAGGAGAGGCCGGCGACGGTTGTGCAATCAGAATGGAAAAAGGGAAGGCAACGGCAATGGTGGGACACCGGCGTTTTTAACATCTTCACGGACAGTGGACAGCGACAGCGGCACGTCAAATAGCGATCCGGAGTTGTACCGCGCGGCCCGGGAGCGAACCGAGCGATTTTTGTACCCAAATGGCCGTTCCGGCATTAATGTCTCTAGTAGTAATCACGGTGCTGTTATGGAAGCCCGTGGGGAGGCGACAAGTAATGCAGAGAACATATCACTTGATGCCTCACTGCCGATGGCACCGGTGACTCCGGTTTTCTCTGGCTTACAGAGTCAAAATCAAAAGAAGGAGTCTGATAATAAAAGGAGTGATGCAAATTTAGAGAGCAGCCGTAAATTTTTTCCCCCGTCTCCAGCCGTAGTACCTCTCGTTGTACAAGAGGCTCTTCGAGGGCTACAGGGGACAAAGGACAGTGCGTCAGAGCGTGAATTTGCCCGTCTCATGGATCTTTTTGCCGCTGATGTTCAGAAAGAACGTGAACAGGAAAAAGAGTTGCAGCAGGAGAAAGAGTTGGAGGTTGACACAATGGACACGATGTCTTCAATGATGGCTAAGAATCAAAATCAGAAACCTCCTCAAGGGCAATGGGGCGAGACTTACAAGTTGTATACTTCTCCTCCACACACATTCGACGAGCTACAGGAGCGCGCGCTTCTGCAGTTGTATGCCGCAAACGAGGAGAACAAAGATAGTGGGTATTTTATTGCCACGGATCATATGGCGGAGGCGTTCACATTGGCGGCACTGGAGGCGACACGCAATGAATTCCCAGGAGACCCTGACGCCCCAGAAGCAGCATCAGGAGCATTGAACGATAATAATGAGAAATTTCGACCCATTGGGGCGCCACCTTCTCTCATGGAGATCGTTGCCATCGAGCGTGCCCGTCGCAATGCTCGGGCAGCTTTTCAGAAGCGCCGGGAGGGTGAAGAGGGAGTGACTATTGATCGCAATACAGAGGCATTACTCTCCATGGATACGGAAGTCCTTGCAGCTACCGCGGAGGAGAATTTGAACCGTTTCTTATTAGCGGTTCGTTGCATTGAAAATGCGGTGCGTAATCGTCGTGTGACCGATGCATTGGGTCGTTTTTTGTTTGCCCATCATAAGCCATTTCTTCGCACCAATCGTGGTGCTGGTTCATCGGCTGATGCGATTCGAGAGTTCCCTCACGAGGCGTTTGCGGCGTATGAGCGGTACGGTCACTATGTGGGCAAATTTATCACTGAGCTGTTGAATCGAAATGTGCCAAAGTTCAATATGGAGGAGTTTGTCTTGTCGCTGTTTGATGTGAACATGAATGGGGAAGAAAACAACAATGCTAGCGATGCTGAAGACGTCTCAATGGATGTTTTATCGTACCCCGCGTGGCGTCTCTTACAGTCCATCTCTTCTTTTAACGAGTTCTGTACCTTCATGGATGACTTTATTGCCGAGGAGTACGGCGTGGAGAAGGTTGTTGCGTATGACAACGAAGGTACCAATGGCGATGCTGGTGTCAAGGCGTCTCGTTACGATGGGGACGGAGTGGTTGTGGTAGCGGGCGCTAGAGGCGTCCGTGCACTACTGACAAAATCGAAGGCCAAGTTGCCCAGCGCAAGGGCATCATCTACGTGTGATGCTTCACAACAGATGCGCGTCCCCAACGAGGGTGCACACGAAAGCAACGATGACTTTCTTTTTCTCCCTTCTGAAGGCGGTGCCACTGAAACTCCGTTATCATCACCACCACGTGAATCACAGGCGCATGGAGATCGTTCTGCAGCGGAATTTAGCGCACGTACGGATTCCGCTCCTACGGTGCTTTCGAATTCGCACCCTGCTGTATCTGGAAGTTCCCGCGCGCCATTTGGGAACAGTTTAACTCCCCCACCAGCGGCGTCCTTGCAGGGTCCAAGGCCCAGCAAAAACAGCCTCATCACCGCCAACTCTCTTCCGCAACTTCCACATGGGAGTCGTCGAATTGAGGCAGTGCGAGGGCGAAATTTGCCACCTTTATCTGCTGTCGGGGGCAAAGAGGCTGAAACAATGTTCTCCACTGCCCCATTGAAGTTGAGTTTAGGCTCTGAGGCCAATGCCGTTCCCCCGGGTGGCTTCAAGGCCGAGCCTGTGACAACGGAACGTACTGTGCGGGGCACTGACTCCAGTGGGAAGATCGACAAGGTCTCTGGAAGGCAGGCGCCTTCTTCGTCGACTAGCGTTAGTTATGGAAACAAGAAGAAAAGCAAGGATTCTAGAAGCCGTAGCGGTGCACGGACTGGTGCTGAGACGACAACGACGACAAAGAAACCACGAGGGAAGAAGTTGAAGTCCCCTCAAGATACTTGATGTGTTTGTATTCTGATTTTGTGAAATTCCATTGGTTGATACCAACGTTGATTTCTGTATGCGAACTAGAAGAATATAATGGGGGAATTGCAAACACGGTTCAACTTCCATTGATTTTTGTTATTACCATTATTACCATTATTATTACTATTATTATTTTTGAAGCTCTTGTAGCAATGAAGAGGCACATGACCCCGTGGCCTTTTTATTCTTATTTATTTATTTTTCTTTTGTTCCTCTTTCCCTTTCTGTGTGGGTTTGTGAACGCGGCCTGAAAAACACGCTTTTTTGCTTCCTTTTAAAAAAGAGTCTTTTACATTGATTCACTTGACATTTTAATTATATCCACAACAAATCCAAACAAAAAGCAGTCAAGTGGCATGTAATGTAGGTGTTGGAAGGGGGCGCTGCAGCAGAAGATTGGCCATTGATACCCCTATTGTCAAAGCCACATTTGTGCAGACCACGCACGACAAGGAAGATCCATATCTTTTATTGAGGTGCTCAATGACGGGGAGGGGGGATGCGCCCCCCGCTTCAACGTTCCGGTCACACGACAGTCAGTTAGAATCGCGCGGTTCAGCATGTTTTGGTTTCCCACAGCAATCACGCACAATTCCGAATAGCCGAGATGTTGGCGCAAAGGAGTTGCCAGCCCATTTTCAACTGCGAAATCGATCTTTCATGCTTTTTGTTTGCTTTTCGTTTATTTTTATTCCTTCTACTTTGAGTTGGTGGATGAGCGCTGCTGAGAAGCCATCTTCACCGTCATTCTCGGAATCATCTGCCGGGAAAGATGTGGCTGCCTCCGCATGGTCACGGTTTGTTGCGCCGATTGACTCCATCTTTCGTTTTCCCCAAGAAATGTGGGCTCGCACGGCGGATGGCCTTTCCCGTCTCCCATATGCCTTTTCATTGTGGCAGCAATTCGGCGTTGGTGACGTTTTATTGCTTAGCGGCCCACGTCAAGCGCTTTTTTTTGCTTTTACTGCTGCCAGGGCTGTGTCGAATTACGTGCAACGTTTTCTGACGGAGGAATTACTGCCATATTGCTGTGATGTCTCGGCGTGGCTTGTTTTGAGGCTTGGGGAAACGGCACACACTGTGGGAATTAAGAGTGTGGAGGGTTTACGGTGGGTATGTATATTTTTTGGTTTTCTCAGCAGGAACACAACACCACCGTCCAGAGGGAGGATCATCTGTACAGGTATTACGGCTGTCACCACGGCTCCCAAATCGTCATCGTCATTAACAACGAGTGCCGTGAACAGCGCCGCCCCTACCAACAGGTCAAAACGATGGAAGATTAAATCTGGCATTTCAAATTGGCTGAGGGCCAGTTTCACGTTCCTCTTTTCACCAAAACGAAAGGCGTCGACGTCACCGCCACCTCCGTCGCGTTCTGTTGAGGGGGGCAGCGGTTTGTGCGGAATGTCGCGCGGAGCAGCTCCGCCTGCCAAAGGATCCCGCGTGTCCCAAGAGCCAAAGCCATCTGCCAAGGAGGCATCACAACGTGAAACGATGCCGAATAGGCAGAGAGGTTTGTTAGAGAAGGCATTTCTTTTTTTGAAATGGCTCACTGGTGGCTTTTCTTTTCTCGTTTCGAAACCTTCCGGAAAGTCTTTTGGCCAAAAGATAGAAATGGCCGACAAAAAGAGTTGGATGCCAAAAAAAGCGGGTGTTGAAATTCATTCGCGTTCATTGGAGCCACTAAACCTGCCTGGCCGATCCTCTTTTTATTATTTCAAAGCATCCGAGCATGCAACAGAGGCAACACTTAAGAGCAGTAAAGAGAAATCCATCTCTCTTACCAGGGCAGCTTCCCCAGACGATAATAATGACAAAGCCATCGTTCACACCGTCACTTCCCGTATCGTGACAGTACATCATTTTGGATTTGCAGTCTATGTGACTGGTGAGCCACCCCACAAATTCGAGGATAAAATTGAAGGGGAGTTTTCGTTGCAAGTTGTACAGGGCACATTTATAAGGGATGTCGCGCATCTTTTTTCTTCTGCTTTTTCCATACCTATTGACAATGTCAATGTGCGACGACATGGAAACCTATATCATGTAGGCTTTGATGTGTTGCAGCTACCCGGCGGGAATTTCTGGAAGAAGCGGGAAATTGACACGCATGAAAACGAGGAACTGCCGAAAAGTACATCGGAAGCAGAGTCGCAGTCAGAGCATGAAGAGGTATTGGAGTCAGAGGTTGAGCAATTGCGTGAATATCATGCTCAGCGTGGAATGCGGGTCAGTGGTGATTTTGCGCCCGATTTGGAGCACATCATTCTCTCGGGGGAGAATTTTCAAGATGACCGCGCTGCCTTTTGTGAAAAAACTAGGAGCGCTGGATCAAGTGTCGTTGCATGCGTCGTTAGTTTGAATTCATTTTTAAGTGCGTTTTATGCTCATCGCCATTTTTGTTTGAAATTGGTCGTGCTTGACTTGAAGGGACGTTGCATATTTGTTACGGGTGATAAGTTGGTAGTTTTTGATTGTCGATGGCCGATGGCCTCTATGCGGAACATTAGCGAGCCAGCGGAGGCTGATGGTATTTCGGAGGAGTATGTAAAGTTAAATGAAGTGCATGATACGATAGTGATGGATGATTCCCCGGGACGATCAGAGCAGAAGCTGTTGGCTGCGGCGCGTGTTTTGTCTAGTGATCAGCGCGGTGCTGAAATACGAACGGTGGTACCATCTTCTGCACATGTGCTGAATTGGATGGACACTTCTGTTGTAATTTCTGGAATCGTTTGCACGGCTGTTTTCACTGGATTTTGTGTTCTTGCGGTACAGCGGTCACTTTTACATCGGCGAGGTGATGGTGAGTGGTTAATGAAGCGATGGCAGCTGGCGCGTGGTGAGCTTCTCTTGAAAGCGCTTAATGAGCGGTTTTCCGTTCTTTTGGAGGCTTTACCCGCTCGCTTTGGTGTTCCGCGTGAAGAGATGTTTTTTCTCCGACGCGTCGT